TCTGGTATAATCTGCTTCTTTTATCGGACGGCGAAAAACAGCAAAACTTTGCCTCGCACGCCGCAAAAAACAATGAAATTTGAAGTAAGACTAAATCTATGAACAAGTTTAATAAAGATTTACATAGTCAAAACAAAAATATTGAAAAACGCGTCTCAAACACTGAAATTCATTTTTCGCCATATAAAAATATAGCAGAATGATTTGTTTTTGCATAATAAGCCTCGTTTTCGTGCAGTTGAAGGCGCGGTCACTAAGTTTCGCAATTGGTCTATAAACCGAGCAGCTTGTTGGCTTTAGCTGTGATCTCATAGATATGAGAATCCCATAAAAGATTCCCAGTCATTGTAACTCCAAGATCTTTCTCTTTCTCAACATGAAAAAGTGTGCTTGAGCCCAGTTGATATGTAAAATCCACAGGTTATTTTTTCCGCGACATAGTCAACACTTTATATTTTAACTCGTTGAACCTCATGTTTTTGGTATTGCTACAGGTGGCTAGGTTTGTCAAGGTTTGTTGCAATTGGCGAGCATCGATCATCTTCGCAAGTAATTTTCCTGAATGTTTTTGCGTCGTCAGCGTACAAAGCAATTTCTGATTACGACACTATACAAGACTATACGACACTATAAAAGACTATATACGTCATTTCGATGTATTCCTTCGTGGTTGAGTTAATAGGGATCTTAAGATGTATAGGACAGCAAAAGGACGACGAAAGCCAAAACAAATTCACCCAAATATATTATTGTAATGAAATCTTATCGTATATTATCAATCGTACGTATGAATTTAACACAGCTTGAAGAAATCAAAACAGAGGCTTCTTATAGTTGAGTAGAGTTCCACATTAGTACTGAACCAATTTGCCGGGTATCCACTTCTTACGTACTAAAATGCAAACGTTGTACACAGAATGTAAAAACTCTGGTTTACTGGTTGTAAATAGACAGTGGACGACGACTAAATCTTCCATGGGATTTTAATTATTCATTTCTTTTCTTAAATATTATTAAATCATTTCAGCATTGCCGACATTGAATATGCCTGCATTATTCTGTCATTTCTGTGGGCCTAGTTGATATTTAGACGGTGAATATAAACTTATTACTAATAAGTAGACATTGTCAACACCGTATAATAATTCGCTAAAACTTAGTTCCAAAAAGTAATTTTCTAAAGAAATTATTGTCTTTTATAGTATAAAGAAATTATTGTTTTTCTATATCATCATGGCGGAAAGTACGAAACGAGAGCTTTACGGCGACTTACGAACAATTACCGAGTGACAGAAATCCAAATTTCTTCTATATTTTGATTCAAAGCTGCATTGTTATAACTCGGTCAAGGAATTAAACTGGCACGGGTCATTACGTCAAAATCAGTTGTCCAGATTAGTGTGCTGCAGCAACAAGCATGCAGTGGTCATTCTGTCGCTGATTTTCGCACGCATTATAAGTCAGATGTCCCTATCGCAAAATTTTTAGATACACGGTACGCTATACAACTATTAGAGCATTTACCCAAGCAGGTCCTTTTCCAGCCCCAGTATACATGAAGATTTTCATATGAACTGGGAACTTTTTATCATTAATATTGAGAAAGCTGTATCTACCTGCTTTCTAACGTTCTCCCACATTCTTGACATTCCGTCTTATTAATATTTCTACTGAATGCCATTAATGTACACTTTTCAGTGCATAGGAAAAAGGCTTTCATTAAGATTTTATCCTGAGCCAGTAGTTGTAATTCCCATACGTTAAAAATGCTCTAAAATTTTATTTTCAAACAATCAGGAAAAGAATTCTCCGCTTCGGTAGCAGTTCACATTTGAAACTGACAGATAAATTACTTTAATTAAATTCGTTCTATTTTGTGTGCCTATGTACTATTTAAATCACGAGCAGGAGTGCTTTATCGGATATAAAACACGAGAAGGCAGCTCGAGTGTTAGTTATATCTGATAAAGCACGAACTGCAACATTTTGAATGGCTTAAAAAAAGACCCACCTGACGAGTTCATTGGCGGCCAAATAATTTCAAAAGTAAACGTAGTGTCTAAGCCAAGAAAATCAAAGCAAAAGCCGAAAGTTTATCTAAATGAACATGATTTTTTATCACATCTTTTCTTCGTGAATTATTAATTTTAAAAGTAGCGTATCTGTATTTAAATTTTCAGCCATTAGTTATTGCGGGCGTAAAAAGTGACGGCAATGATGGTAAGCATTGGCGTCAGTACCCATTCCATTGCACAATGCATGGTAAGCGTCTAGTCAACGTGCAGCTTAGGGACCGGTCATTATTTATGGAAGGGGGGAGGGAGGGAAAAATGAGGGGAGCCATATGTATAAATAAATGACTAGAAGGGGGGGGGGCTATTAATTTTTTTCAAGAAAATGAGGGGGGGGTTGCAATTAAATTTGAAGGAATTTGCTTAATAAGCATGGTATCCATTTGGTTGTATAATTGCGACTAAATCATGGTCACTGATGTGAAATAGTCTGGATTTATCTTGTCTTCTGTGTGCTGTATGCAAATCAGTCTTTACTGATTGCAGAGATAAATTGACAATGTATTATTTCACCAGCTATCTTGATGTGGTTAAATACATTTAAGCAAGGTTAACGGCAAATGTATTATGCAGGCCACATCCACTGAGGGGAGTTTATAACGTCATATCATAAAGAGGGTTGTTTCGCGCCTTGTGATCAGTGCTTTGATCTGGGTATTTTTCTGCCATTGTATGCTTTGCTAGCTGCAGCAAGTTTAGCGCTTAGATACCTTTTCCC